AGCCACCCTAGCCGGTTTGGCACAGTGGATAGAGTGTCGGCCTGCAGACTGAAGTGTCCCGGGTTTGATTCCAGTCAAGGGCATATGCCCGGGTTTCGGGCTCGATCCCCAGCAGGAGGCATGCGGGAGGCAGCCGATCAATGATTCTCTCTCATCATGGATGTTTCTATCTCTCTCTCCCTTCCTCTCTGAAATCAATAAAAACATATTTAAAAAAAAAAAAAAAAAAGCCATAGCCAGTGACTCAATTGGTTGGACGTTGTCCCATGCACGGAAGTTGCCAGTTCAATTCCAGGTCAGGGCATATGCCCAGAGTTGCAGGTTCAATCCCTCATGGGGGGGCTTGTGGGAGGCAGCTGATTGATGTTTCACTCTCACATCAAAGTTTCTTTCTCTTTCTCTTCCTTCCTCTCCCTCTAAAAATCTATCTTTAAAAATCTTAAAAAACAACGACACACACACACCTTTGCATAAATTCTATTTTTAAAAAAAGAAAAACATGTCAGTGAAAATTGCCAACCCAACAGCCATTTTAGTCTCCTCTCCTCTCTAACAAAAAAAAAACACCCAATGTATGGGTGCTACCCAGTTGAACACTCCTGTGCAAAATAAAGTGAATGTAAGACCCATTTCTGACCAATAAAATGTAACTATAAGTCCACTTGTGAGGTCTCTGGCTACTGTTTTCCTAGAAAGAAAGGAGGGACACACTTGGCTGGCATTCACCTTGAACTCTTCAACTATCCTTTCTCTTCCTCTTTAGAATGCAGCTCTGATCCCAGGGGAACAACCAGCCACCCTGCTACCATGAGAAGAGGTCATGACCTCCAGATGGCAGAGCTGGAAGCTAGGAGGGGCAAGGGTCCTGCAGAACATTGTCTAGTGACCGCACCAGCCCTGCCCTGCCCTCCTCTGGGCTTCTTGCTGTGAGAAAAATCATGCCTGTCTGATTCAAGCACTGGGGTTGAGTTTCTGACGGATGCAGCCAAATTCAACACTAACACACAAAGATACCTGAAAATCAATCCACCCTGAAAAAGCAGGAGTTTGAAACTCAAATGCAAGCAGACCAAATGTGAGTAGAACTGACCAGGTGTATTACAGTTAGAAGTGGCCAAGTAGCGAAATGGAGAGGGCAGGACGCATGTAAGTGAGCACTGTTACCAGCTCCAGCCTTGTGGGAATGCCAGCCCAGCACTCCCACCGGGCCAACACTTCTGATTTTAGAAAGAAGACCACAATTTAGATTTTCACATGAAGTTTCCTAATTTATAAGTGATAACAACCAAGTAAAAAGAGAAAAAAAAAATTAACTCTGCCCACATCAGTCAAGACATGACTGTAGGCGAAATTCAGCCTGAAAACCACCAGTTTTCAACCTTAGTAGAGATGGTTAAGGCAAACTAAAAAGAAGAGAAGTCTAGAAAAATAATGGTTAGCAATATATTGAGCATTTATGTGCCAGACTGTGTTAAGAGCTTTACATTTATGACCTCATTTTTTCTCTCTCTAGCCACCCTTACAGAGTACGTAATATTAATATCCCTGTTTTACCAACAAGAGAACGGAGGCTTGCCGAAACCAGTTTGGCTCAATGGATAGTCGGCCTGCGGACTGAAAGGTCCCGGGTTCGATTCCAGTCAAGGGCATGTACTTTGGTTGCGGTGTGCAGGAGGCAGCTGATCGATGTTTCTCTCTCATCAATGTTTCTAACTCTCTATGCCTCTCTCTTCCTCTCTGTAAAAAACCTATAAAATAAAAATAATAAAATTTTTTTAAAAAGAAAGAAAACGGAGATTTAAAGAGATTACATAACTTGCTCGGTCGGAATCATAGAACTAATCTGAGGCAGAGCCAGGATTTGAACCCAGGCCGGTATGACCCATCTGTATGACCCCAAGGCCTGCGCTGTTATCCACCCGTAAAAGGAATGTCCAGTGCACCCAGAAAGCACAAAAGCTGCTTGGGATACCTACGCATCAACTTCTGGTGACATGAGCAGCAGCCTTGAAGAGCCTTTCCAATCAGTTCTAACAGAGACCCAGGCTTACATCCTCCTTCGTTACTAAAAACAGCAGAGCACTGTCCAATACTCCCTTATTCACTAGTTTACTGCATGAATGAACGTTTGTGCCAGGCTTTCCAGTTACTAAAGTGCTTTTAAATGCATATTTCACTTAATCCCCACAGCAACCTGGTAGTATTGTTACCACTATTTGACAGATAATAAAATGGAGGATTAGAGAGATTAGTGGACTGGTTCAAGATCCAGGCAGTTAATTAACGGAGCTGTCACAAGCCCTGGTCTTCTGATGCCAAGTCCCGTGCTCTCTCTCTGCTTCCCGTGGGCCACTTCTCTGCTTCCTTTGCCAGCGCTCCCAACTCTGCCATCTCACTTCAAGATAACTTGTTTGAACTAATTTCCTACTTAACTCTAAAGTAACTCCAGTATGTCTGACAAGCCCAGGTACCATAGTTAGTTTCATGAATAGCCTCATCATAGAATAGAGTCAGCGAGAGGACAAAAATAAATATATCAAGTAATACACTCGGAATGTAAATGGGCACACACACAAGTCTTAGAATCTAATTTTAGAAAGAAACAGCCAAAAAGTCCCACACAGCCAGTGAGCATCTGGCCCCGGGGGGAGGCTGCCCACACTGCTTTGAACCTCAGTTAACCCAGGGAGAGAAGGAATCCTGGAATTCTGACAGCCATTTCACTGTCAGATACACCCATGAGATAAAGAAGAGAATGACTTTTCATCATGTTCTCCCAGAAAAATGCTAACGTTCATAGTTTAAAAGAAAAAAAGAAAGAAAGAAAAAAAAAAAAAAAAAAAAGGAAATGTCTCTGAGGAAATAAGCAAGTATTCTAGAAAGGCTGAAAACCCTAAAAGGTTCATCAGAGTGTGACACTGGAGTTGTACAGAACTGACTCTTGCTGGAAGCCAAGGGGCAGGAGGTGGGTAGATGAACAGTGCTTACTGACCCCAACCGAGGAGCCCATTTGGTATGGGGGCCACACAGGGCTTCAAGGCCATAGGTCATCCCAGGACATCCTGGCCCATCACAGGCTCGCTCACCTAACCACTGCAGGCTGTAGCCTCCTTCACCATTATGTAGACTTGTAGTTAGTCTTCCTAACTGCCAATAATCACAAGAATATAAGTTCTGTTATGGCAGGGAACCTTGTGTCTTTCGTTCGCTGAAATATGCCAAGCCCTAAAATGGTGCCTGCACGCAGAAAGCTTCAATAAATATTTGTTGAATAAATGAATAAGTCATCTGGTACTGTGATGGATCCTCCTAGAAGTACAGTTTAAAGTGGCCAGAGACCAAGAATACATTTCCATTAACCCAATCATCTGCCCATTTCCTCTTTAAAGATGTACCTTACTACAGTTCGGGCTTCTTGAGATCCAGGTTGGGGTTGGTAGGCCTTCTTTCACTGTCTTTTTATATTATACTACTATACCCAAACAGTATTACTCAGCCTCTAAGATCCGCCATCACACACTATGCACTTCATCCCTTCTTCCTTTGCAATGTCAAATGCATACCTGTTCTGTGACAGACACTGTGATAACAAAGATTACAATGGTCAGACCCAATCCTTGCCTCCCAGAAGCTCACATTTCATGAGGGAGCCAGACATGTAAATTGTTAGAATATAATGTAATAAGCACTATAATGTGGGTGTTATGGCCAAAGACACATACTAACAACCGTCAGGCCTAATCTAGGCCATACAGCAATTTAATTTTTGTAATTAATGGCTAACCTCTAAAAATGGTTTCTTTCATATAAAAGTTTAGACTGCCAATATCCCTTGCAAAGTCAGAGGATCTGGCAATAGTGGGCCTGTGTTCCCCACAGCATCAGTCAGCTCTGGCTATGCAGGGGTTACCCCTTTAGAAGGGACATCGGCCTCCAGTTCCCACAATCCAACTCACATTCCCCCTACTGTTTTCAGGCAATGAGGCCAAGGTCAGCTGCCAACTTTTCTGTGCTAGTATGGTTGGTATCCTAGAGAAATTATTCTCTGTATCCACTCTTCTACAATAAATGAGAAAAATGCAAGATAAATCGAAAGGGCCACATGGAGCACTTGAAGAAACGCTGGAAAACTTATTTCGCATAAAAATGAATATGCCTATACATGTGATAGGTAAGTAAAGTGTATCTGTGTCCTGTTGCCAGCATGCTGTGCTCATGCATCCTTCTTGCCCATTAGGCTTCTCTAAACCTATATGGGGACACGAGCCAGACAATGGAGAAGCCAGGTTTCCTGCTGTCAGAGAACTCAATGTCTAGCAGGGCTGACAGACACGTAAAACAAAAATCAGCAATTAATGTGAGTTATTCTATAGAAACTGAGAGGAAGGAGCCCCGCCTCAACCTGGAGAAGAGCTGACAGAGGGGATTACCCTGAAGCTGACTCTTGAAAAGGACAAAGTTTTTTCAAACAGACAGAGGAAGGTGAAGCTGCCGAAAATAGTACCCTGGCATTAAAAGTATCGCTCATCAGGATTACACCCCCCTCTACAAAGAGCCGGATAAATTCCCATAAGTCTGAGCTACTCAGGGGAAAGTAAGGCCAGTACTGATCCCCTTCCTCCCTGACACTGTAGGAAGTGCAGGTCCCCATGAAACGTCCAATTGTGTAATCTAATTGATGTCACCAGCATGCCTCCCTGACCTTCATTCAGTAGAAATAAACACCTGGACTTCAACTACATTTTGAAACATCCCAGTCCCTTGTTCAGCTAACTTTGCCAAGTTCTTCATTGAGAATATAAAGCAATGCACAGAAACTATTCTAGCATCAAAGATAAAGTGTTTCTTTTTCATTTGTAACTCAGATGACAAATGCCTAGGGAATTCCCAAATCAAGATAGAAGAGCTGACATTAAAGAGAAGAAATATGAAATACTAAATCTTTGCTCATAAGGTAATCGCTAACTTGTAGCATTTTCTCAGATTTTTTTAACACCCACCTCTCCAATCAGAATTGAAGAATTCTTGCCACTGAGGTTATTCTCGGCTTGAGCTGACTCCTGTTGAGCTCGGCGACCCATCTTGGCCTCCTATAGGAAGAAATGAGGGGCGCTGCTAACTCAAACATCTCTGAGCCACTATGAGGACAATTATTCTCGGAAGATAAGCAAGAACTAGATTTATGAATACATGGTAGAGTAATTTGAATATTAGAAAATGCTCCAAACCCTAAATGCAGTTGAGGTCAGTTCTCTTTAGTAGAAGAATAGGAAATTCATGGATTAATGATCATAAGGTTTTCATTTAATCGCCTCATATCATTTCTACACAAAGAAATGAAACTAGAAATTCCTCTGGAATGGGCAGAGACCTCACACCACAGTTTAAGGAAGAGTGTGTAAAGTCTCCCCGTGTTCATGGAGGATTTTAGGAAGACCTAATTTCAAAGCTGCACCTTGACGTGAGAAAAGTTATTAAAAAAAAAAAAAAAAAAAAGTTTTGGGAAAGAATTCCTAGATTCCATGAGAACTGCCAAAAGAGAAATACAGGTAGCATTTGCTTTAACGTGTAAACTAAATTGGATTTCCATTTACAACATGAAAAAAAATCTCTTACAAGAATGTTGAAACATCAGCTTTGGAAATCAGAACAATTCAAATTCTGAGTCATCACATGAACCATTGTAGCTTTTCCCCAAAGTCCTCCTGGGGTGGAGGTTCTGTATCTCAAATGCTTCACACCACATCAAAAACTTTATTTAGGCAGACCAATGGGCATTAAAATACTTATCTTTTCATTTGTTGGCTTTTAAAAAATATATATTTTTATTAATTTCAAAGAGGAAAGGAAAGGGAGAGATAAACATCAATGATGAGAGAGAATCATTGATTGGCTGCCTCTTGCACGCCCCCTACTTGGGATCGAGCCCACAACCCAGGCATGTACCCTTGAGAAGAATCAAACCTGGGACCTTTCAGTCCACAGGCTGATGCTCTATCCATTGAGCCAAACCAACTAGGGCTGGAATCTCAGTTTTATGATGTCCTAAGAACTAACTGTACTGACAAACTGAGAACGGTTACATGGGAGCTGTATAAAAACTCTGATGGAGTGTTTACATTTCAAATTTTGTTTTTAATATATTTTTATTGATTTCAGAGAGGAAAGGAGGAAACATCAATGATAAGAGATAATCATTGACAGGTTGTCTTCTGCACACCCCCTACTGGGAATGAAGCCTGGAACCCAGGCATGCCGACTGAAAATTGAACCTTGACCTCATGGTTCATGTTGATGCTCAACCACTGAGCTACACCAGTAAGGCCATTTCGAATTTTAACCAATCATTTAGGTTTCAGAGATGATGGAAACAATCTTCCTGATAATAAGCAGCTCATTTTTTTCCCCTAAGGCAGACAATCCCATTGCTTCATCTATGGTTATGCTTTTCCATTTATCACAGCACTGGATATATGAATATGGCATACCATAAGCAGTGGTTGTGCTACAACAAAAATTCAATGATCTTGTCCCTAAATGCTGTTTATAGATGATTGCTCTAAAAATTAAGTATTTTAAACTTTTTGAAGACTCTGTATAAGTCCACATGTATAAAAACTATTTCATTACCCAATTTTATATATTTTGAATGTGTAGTCTGTTTATTGTCCATCTTGCCTCACTGGAATATAAGCCCCATAAGGGTAAGGACTTTGTTTTATTCACTGCACCTTTGAAAATGCCTGATCCCCAATAAAGGCTCAATAACTGCTTGTTGAAAGGATATATAACGTTTATATAACCAGGCACTAAACAAGTTCTCATATCAGAAAAGCCTGGTGACCTAAATATTCTTCTCCTTGGTCAGTCAAGCAACCTGCTTCGGCCTAGAACAATTTGTTCCTATGCTTCAGCTCCCCCTTAGGGAGGTGTGCCTTGGAGGACACCAGATGCTATCAACGTATTAAAAAAAAAACAACACTTAAGAGACTCCGCAGTCCACAGTGCAAACTAAAGATCTGCCCTGGGGCTCAATCTTCTAGTAAATGTAATCCTGACTATTCTAAAGGTAAAGAGGCTTGGAGGGGGTGTGATGGGAGTTAAAACAAAGATCACTGAACTTGAGTCTGGGCTCTAGCTTGGTGTATTCCTGACCCTAGGACCTTGGATAAACCACAGCTGCAGAAAGGCAGCAGCGAACTTTGCATAAGCCAGGCACTGTGTCAATGCTTTTCCTCGCATTACCCTATTTTGTCTTCGCTGCAACTCCTTAAAGCAGACAGCAACATCATTCTGAGACGAGGAACCCGAGGTTCTGAGAGGTTAACTTTTTTTAGGCCCTCGCAACAGCTTCAGACTCCATCTGACCTCTGGGTCCCCAGCCCTCAACGTTATAAATCTGAGTCTTGCTTTCCTTAACATAAAACAGAGGAAGCCAAAACCGGTTTGGCTCAGTGGATAGAACGGTGGTCTGCGGACTGAAGGGTCCCAGGTTCGATTCCGGTCAAGGGCAAGTACATTGGTTGCGGGCACATCCCCAATAGGGGTTGTGCAGGAGGCAGCTGGTCAATGTATCTCTCTCATAATCGATGTTTCTAGCTCTCTGTCCCTCTTTCTCTCTCTTGCTCTCTGAAAAAAAAAAAAAAAAAAAAAAAAAAAAAAAAGGCCCAACCCTGCCTTCACGTATAATATAGTGCGGTTTTTAATGTAAGCCTGCTCCCAAGAAAAGTCCGACGGGAAAGCTCTAGAATGGGCGCCAGGGCGACCCTGGCCGGGCGCCTCCAGTCACCCGCAGACCTGTCCTTTCTAGGGAAGTTCGCACTTGGGGCTCCAGAAAGCAAAGGAAAACGGGGAACGTTTCCACTGACCCCGGAGGCCGGCGGGAGCCGGAGCGGGAGCGGTTTCCCACTTTTGGGGGATTTTACCGAAAGCGAACCCCCGGCGGAGCCCACCGCGGCCCGGGGGCGGGGCGCACGGAGCCACCGCCTCCTCCCCGCCTCCCGCCCTCCGGCCGCGGGGCCAGGCCGCGTGAGGCCCGCAGGGAGCCGGGCCGCGGAGCAGGCCCTCCCCGCCCCCAAAGGCTGGCCCCCGCCCGCTCTCCGCCCCCGCCACGGTCCTCACGGAGGCGGCCGGGCCGCGGCGCCGCTCCTCGCCCAGGTCCAGCACGTCCTCCATCGCCGCGGCCGCCTGACGTCACTTCCTGGAAACCTAGCGGCCCCTCGGCGTCCCTGACCACGGCCCCGCTCTTCCGCCCCGAGATTTAAAGGGTCAAGGCATTATTCCTGGATTCTCTGTGCCATCCTCCAACTTAACTATTTCCTAAACGTGCCTTGCTTGACATCCGGTAGAAACCACGAGGTATCACATTCCGGTAAAGCCGCTCCTGTGGGACAGTGGAAAAGCATGTGTCCTTTTTTAAACACATAAGTTATTAATTGCAAAGCAAAATGGTAGTAATTATTCTGATCCCTCTTATTTATATAGTTCCTTACAATGTACGGAGGCCCTTCACAGTTATTAGCTCATGGGAAGGGCATGGCAAACTTGTATGGGAAGCAAGATATATTGCATTATCTCCATTGTGCAGATGAGGCATAGGGCTGTAAGGATCTGGTGTGAATAAGTGGTTTACAACGGAAACTGCAATACACATCATCTCTGTCTTCAAAAACTTCACAGAGCCGAAACCGGTTTGGCTCAATGGATAGAGCGTCGGCTTGGGGACTGAAGGGTCCCGGGTTCGATTCCAGTCAAGGGCATGTACCTTGGTTGCGGGCATATCCCCAGTAGGGGGTGTGCAAGAGGCAGCTGATCGATGACTCTCTCTCATCGATGTTTCTAACTCTCTATCTCTCTCCCTTCCTCTCTACAAAAACAATAAAATATATTTAAAAAAAAAAAAAAAAAAAAAACTTCACAGAGAGGTTTTGATGTTTTTGAGCCAACACATAAAAAAACCCAGTACTAATAACTTGCAAAAGTAAATTACTCAGTTCAATCATTCATCCATGTGTTTATTGGGTAGGGTTGTGACAGCAACAGCATTACCTGGATATCAGAAGAAGTGAGGTCTCATGCTAGCTCTGCTCACAACTACCTGTGTAAACCAGGCAGAGTCTCTCTGGCCTCAGGTTCCCTCCTCCCGCCCCCCCCCCCCCCCCCCCCGTAATTACTCTTAGAGATTATCCCTAATACCTTGTACTTACTGACTCTGATTCTCAGGGAGAATATTAGATTTTTAAAAAATATTTTTTTATTGATTTCAGAGAAGAAGGGAGAGTGAGAGTGAGATAGAAACATCAATGAGAGAGAGAATCATTGATCAGCTGCCTCCTGCACACCTCTTACTGGTGATCAAGCCATGGCATGTGCCTTCCTGGTGATGACAATCAAACCACTGACCCATGCTGGCCAGCTACCCTATTAGATTTTAATCTGAATAAATACTCATTGCCAAAAATCCAAATCCAAACAGATGAAATACATGCTCCAGTGCATCCCTGCTCCCTTCTTCCTTGGCACCAGAAGAAGAAGAAGGAATTAATCTTTGGATATTTTCATTTCTTGTGAGCTCACAGACATACCACAACCACCTTATAGCTTCCAAACCTTCACTCCCTCTTCTCCCTGAAAGCCAAAAGTTGACCGATGCAGCCCTGGTTGGTGTTTCTCAGTGGTTAGGGTCACCCATTCCCTTCCCAATCAAGGGCATGTACCTGGGTTGCAGGTTCGATCCCCACCCAAGTCTCCCCCTCTCTCTCTTTCTCTCTCTTCCTTGCCCAACCCTCCCCTCCACTCTCTTTAACAGAACCAATGAGGGAAATATTCCTGGGTGAGGATTAACAACAACTACAACAACAAAAAAGTTGACCGCTGCTCACTCTGGGCAGAAAGAAGCCCTAGAATAGTGGCTTCCAAACCTTGATGGGCACCTGGGTCACCTGTGAGACTTGTTGAAAGAACATATAACAGGGCCCCATCCCTAGAGACCGATTCAGTAGAGGTGGGGTCCAGATATAACTTTAATAGTTTTCCTGCCTATTTTGCAAGTGTTTGCATAAAGCTTCGGTAAGGCATTCTCTGACTTAAAACTAAAACATCTACTTTAAATTCCAACAGCCCCTCCCCACCCCCCAAGTAGGCACTCCCTAGCCTCTTTCCTGTTTTATTTTCTTTCATTTATTGCCTTCTCTACTGCCCCACCTCCATCTCTAGAATGTAAGCTCCATGTGCGCAAGGATTTTGTTAGTTTGTTTATGTTCACTGTGTATCCATAGAGCCTATTGTTGTGCCTGGCATATAGTGAACATCAAACATATTTTTCCAAGGCTGGCTGAACTTCAGAGGCATCATTACACTCATAGACCTGCAACAGACTCCTCAGTGGTGATACATACTGGCTAAATGTCAGTGGTGATACATACTGGCTATATGACCTTAGACAACTTATTTTTAAGCTTTCTACACATAGGTTTCCTCATTTGTTATGCAAATGACAATAATGCCCACGCAAACCAGAAAGCCCCTATTAAACATCACCTCCAGCACTAAGTCTTTTATTTGATTTTATTTTGCTTTTAAATGTGTTTTTATTGATTTTTAGAGAGAGAAGAAGGGAGAGGGATAGAGAGAAACATACATGAGATGGAACATCACTGATCAGCTGCCTCCTGCACGCCCCCTACTGGGCAACCAGAGCATGTGTCCTGACCAGAACCTCTTGGTTCCTGGGTCCACGCTGAGCCACACTTGCTGGGCAGCTGTGTAGCCTTTCAAAAATCTCTCTGTGGCCCTTGCTGGTTTGACTCAGTGGATAGAAGCTTGGCCTGTGGCTGAAGGGTCCCGCGTTCCATTCCAGTCAAGGGCACATGCCTGGGTTGTGGGCTTGATCCCCAGTTGGGGGCATGCAGGAGGCAGCCAATCAGTGAGTCTCTCTCATCATTGATGTTTCTCTCTATTCCTTCTCTCTAAAATAAAAAAATATATATATTAAAAAAATAAAAATCTCTCTGTACCTTAATTTCTTCCATTGTAAAATGACCCATTGCTTGTCCCGGGATGTGGTGAACATCCCCTTTCCTCGGTTAGTAACCTAGGAGCCAGGAGCAGGAACCAGACCTGGCGGGAAGGGGCCTGGAAGGCGGGGGTGAGGTGGGCGGGTGGCAGGGAGCAACACTGATTTCTAAGAAAGTGATCCCCTTCAGGGGCTGGTCCTGGGTGGATTCTCTCCTGGGCAATACCTAGAAGCTCAGGTTGAGGAGGAGGAGAGAGGCGGAGGGGAAAATTCCTCTCACCCATCTGGGAAATGGGCTCCTGCCAACTGCTGACTTTGCGCTCGCTGACGCAGATCCCCGTGGAACCCCGGGCGGGAGGGAAGCCATGAACATCTGGAGGACATTTCTGAGAGAGAGAGAGAGAGAGAGAGAGAGAGAGAGAGAGAGAGAGAGAGAGAGATTGCAGCGCTGGGCTCGGGGGAGGGAGAAGGAGAGGTGCACTTGTGTGCACGCCGGGACCCGGGCCGGGCTGACAGGGAGGCTATTCTGTGAGGGCCAGCTCGTGTCACTCTGCCTCTCTCCAAGCCCCCTTCTCCCCAGCGCCAGCAACAGCCCCATCCCCATCCCCATCCCCAGCCCCATCCCCAGCCCCAGCCCCAGCCCCATCCACAGCCCCAGCCCCAGCCACAGCCACAGACCCATCCACAGCCCCAGCCTCAGTCCCATCAACAGCCCCACCCCATCCACAGCCCCAACCCCAGCCCCAGCCCCAACTACAGCCCCAACCCCACCCCCAGCCCCAACTCCACCCCCAGCCCCAGCCCCATCCACAGCCCCAGCCCCAGCCCCAGCCCCAGCCCCAGCCCCAGCCCCATCCACAGCCCCAGCCCCAGCCCCAGCCCCAGCTCCAGCCCCAGCCCCAGCCCCAGCCCCAGCCCCAGCCCCATCCACAGCCCCAGCCCCAGCCCCAGCCCCAGCCCCAGCCCCAGCCCCATCCACAGCCCCAGCCCCAGCCCCAGCCCCAGCCCCATCCACAGCCCCAGCCCCAGCCCCAGCCCCAGCCCCAGCCCCATCCCCAGCCCCAGCCCCAGCCCCATCCCCAGCCCCAGCCCCAGCCCCAGCCCCAGCCCCATCCACAGCCCCAGCCCCAGCCCCAGCCCCAGCCCCAGCCCCAGCCCCAGCCCCATCCACAGCCCCGGCCCTCCCAGCGCCGACCGCAGAGCCTCTGTCACTGGCGGCCTCGCCACGCCAGAGGGCACCCTCGATCTGCCGGAAAACGCCACCATTTTCAGGGCCCCTGAAGCATCTCCAAGCTTCTCCAAGCTGCCTGGCTCCAAGCTTGTCAATGAAGGGGGGGAGGGGGGAGACAGGATGGCCACGGAGCTTAACCCAAGCCCAAGCCCGTTCCAACCCCGGGCGCCACCCTTCCCCGAGGTGGGGGCACGGCCGCCGCCTCGGCCCCGCGCGCTCCGGCCCCTGCCGGGTCCCGCCAGGCCCGGGGCGGCCCAGGACGCGGCCGGGGAGGGAGCGGAGACCCAGCCAGGAGAGGACGGACTGACAGCTGGAGAGGGAGACGGAGTTGGGGGAGAGAGGAGGGAGGGGATTCACCCGAGTAACTTTCCAGAAAAACAGTCAACGTGTAGCAGGAGTGACTCCAAGAGGAGAGAGAGAGAGAAAAAAAAAAGTTCAGTGACCACGTCGAACGAACGAGAAGGACTACTCGCAAAGTATTTTTCAAACGGGCTCGGCTTCCCCTGCGCCTGTTTAAAACATTAAGACCGCGCAGCCAGAGAGGCTGCTGCGTGCGCCGGCCTCCCTCCCCCACCCCGGACCAGAGACGTCATCGCAGGGAGGTATAAAATTTCAGCAGAGAGAAATAGAGAAAGCAGTGTGTGTGCATGTGTGCGAGAGAGAGGGAGAGGAGCGAGAGGGAGAAGCAGGAGAGAGAGAGAGAGAAAGGGAGGGAAGCCGAAAGCCAAGTCCGAGGGAATGAGCAAGGGAGGCGAGAGAGACAGGAGAAGAAGCCTGAGAAAGAAGGAATAACAGCTTCTCCGGAGCAGGCACGCAGCGAGCTGGCTTCTGGTTTATTTTTCCTTCTCTTTTTATTTTTTAAAGAGAAGCAGGGGACAGAAGCAATGGCTGAGGGAGAAGACACGCTGAGGGGCTGGTGACCCCGGGCATCCAAGTGGATTATTGGAGCTGCTCTCCAGGGGCCCGTCCTCCCTGCCTCCCAATTTGCACACAATCCCCACATCCCAGCCAAGGAAGGCAAGAGGCAGCAGCGGGAACCAGGTGATTGAGAAAGCCCCCGAGGAAGTGCACCCCAAAGAGAAAGCATGAATGGTGTGCCCTGGAGACAAGTGTGTCCTCCGCTGCCCTCACCTTTAGCTGAGCCATCAGCAGCCCAGCCCTGCCTCTCCCTGCCTCCTCGCTGGTGATCTGACTTTTTTTTTTTTTTTTTTTTTTTTTTTTTTTAACATTTTTTCCCCTTTTTTCTTTCTCTTTCCTTATTTTTCTCCGGGACAAGGCAACTATTTTGATTTTGGGACCCAAGCCATGGTCCTTCTGCTCCTTCTTTAAAGAAAAGAAAAAGAAAAAAAAAAAACCACTTTCTCTCCATCGCCAAGCAGCCTTTGGCAATATCAGATATCCGCTCTATTTATTTTTACCTAAGGAAAAACTCCAGCTCCCTGCTTACTCCCAGCTGCCTCGACACCCCTCCCAGCCCTCTGCTTGCCCTCCACCTGGCTTGCTGGGAGTCCCAGCCCAGCAGAACCTGTTTAGACACATGGAGAAGAAACCAAGAGCTCCAAGGCACACAGTCCGCTTCTTCGTGCTCGGGTTGCCAGCGCTTCCTGGAAGTCCTGAAGCTCTCGCAGTGCAGTGAGTTCATGCACCTTCTTGCCAAGCCTCAGTCTTCTGGATCTAGGGAGGCTGCCTGGTTTTCCTCCCTCCTCCTGCACGCCTGCTGGGGTCTCCTCCACGCCAGGCCTCACAGTCCCCCCGCCCCCCGGCCTCTCTCCCCGGCTCGCCCATGAAGATGCCCTTGCAAAGGGCTCTGGTGGTCCTGGCCCTGCTGAACTTTGCCACGGTCAGCCTTTCTCTGTCCACTTGCACCACCTTGGACTTCAGCCAAATCAAGAAGAAGCGCGTGGAAGCCATTAGGGGACAGATCTTGAGCAAGCTCAGGCTCACGAGTCCCCCTGAGCCATCGGTGATGACCCACGTCCCCTACCAGATCCTGGCCCTGTACAACAGCACCAGGGATCTGCTGGAGGAGAGGGAGGACGGCTGCACTCAGGAAAACACCGAGTGGGAGTACTATGCCAAAGAAATCCATAAATTCGACATGATCCAGGGGCTGGCGGAACACAGTAAGTCCAAGTTTTCATGGGGTTGTCTGCTTTGGTAGGGAGTCCAACCGAGGCGGGGGGGGGAGGGGGAGGGCTGGTGGTGGCCACACAGCAGGGTCCCTTGGTCCACCCACACCAAGGTCCAGGACGTGGGATGTGCCATCCGGGCTGGAGAGGTGGGTGGGGAGGGAGACAGGGTCATTCTCATAAGACCCCGGCTCTTCTGGGAGCCCAGGAGTCCTGGAGCTGAGCAGCTCGCCAAACTCACATCCCATCCTTGGCTGATTTTAACTCGGAATTGCATGGTGTCGTCCCGTTAACATATGTGCTCGGTTGCACATGCGCACGGACCGGTGACTGTAGGCATCTAGGTGTCAGAAAGGGGCAGGGCCGAGCTCCTTCTCAAGCCCTACAGTGAGTTCCAAGACTCGGGGAGACCCCGTAGTCTCCCTGCTTTTCACAACTCACTGCGACACGTCTCCGGTTCAGTGTTTCCAGTTTTGGGGGAAGGAGAGCTACACATGAATGTATGTCACGCTTCTGAGGCCCAGGCAAGAGGCATCGTCTTGCTGTCTGGATCCTTCAGTCTCAGCCACAAACGTGACCCACGTGAGCTGCAGGCGTGGGGGAAGGGCGCACACCTCTGTCCACACGGACGTGTGCTTTATGGCAATGGATAGCCTGGATGTGTACAGTAGGTAAATGCATGTGCTCAAAATGGGTGCCTTCTCGGTCTGTGGGCATGGGAAGGCGAGGCCGTGGCCCTCACGTGTAGATGGTCGCTGGCGGCTGTTTTGTGTCTGCGTGTCCCGGGAAGGGTGGGTGGGTGGGAGGTGTGGCTGTGGGTGCAGAAGGGACGTGGGTCTGGGAGTGTGTCCTCCCAGGAGGCTCCCGTCGGTGCCGAGGAGCTGGGAGGCTTCTGGGTGAGACATCTGTGTGTTTGTACACGTGTGGAAGTCATGTGTGTTTATTGAACGGGGATTTTAAAAACTTCAACACGAGAGGGAGAGATTTGGCAGATGCTGAGAAACTGACAGCCCAGGAAGGAAGAATGTGAGCCAGGGACGCTGGGAGCAGCTCTGTTTGCTTTTCCTACCAGCAGGTGTCCTCGCCACCCTAACTACCTCAGCCCCGGCTCACCTGGGAGGTGGGCAGTGCCCAGAGGGGGGCTGGAGCACACTATGTGAGGATGGTCAGCAAGGGGGGAGCTGCAGTGGGGAGCTGGCCAGAGAGAAGAGAGAGGAGTAAGTGGCTGATGGATGGACCAGCTCTGGCTGAAGGTGCAAAAGGCCCTAGTGGGAGCCTGTGGTTACGGGGCAGGGGTTCCCACTCCTGTGTCCTGTGGCTGCCTGGCTCGCCCTGTCTTAGGATGTGGCTACTGTATGGGGCAGAGGCTATAGGACAAGGCAGAACTAGTGCTCCCTGCCCAGCGTCCTCTACAGTGGACTGACTCAGGGTCTGCCAGGGGTCCACAGTTCCCAGAGGCACCAGTGCAGCTGCATGGCTAAGCCTCCACCCCCTGGCACCTGTGAAGGCAGGAGAGAGTGGCCCTGATCGTGGAGGAGGGTGGGAAGCTGAGGCCAGCAGGAGAGGTCTGAGGAGAGCCCAGGGCAAGAGGGAAGGACTGGGGCCCTCATGATCCAGGTCAGGAGGAGGAGTCCCGGGGAGGAGGGCTTGTGAGTCACTGGGGCCCAGCCAGCCTGGAATCCCCAGCTGAGAATGAATGAGCCAGAGAGATGCAAGGGCACCCAGGTGCCAGTGGGCCTCCATTTTGTGCAGTTTCAGGGCACAGACAGTGGAAAGTCTTGGGAAAAGCCAAAGGCAGGGGTAGGCTGCTTCAAGCTGCAGTACTAGGACCCTAAATCTAGCAGGCCAGGGATGGCCCTGGGGTCAGGGAGCCATGGTCAGGCAGGGAGCAGCAAACCCTGGCACAATGAGCAAATGCCACACAGGATGTCGTGGGGATTGGCAGGGCCCAGTGGGACACGGGCAATGCCAAGGAGGCTTGCAGGTGCAAACAGGAAGCAGGCCCAGACTCTCTGCAGCTGTTGGAGGTGACACAGAGGCTGAGCAGACACAGCCTGGGCCCGCCCTGCAGCTGGTCAGGTGCTGAGCCAACCCTGGAGAGGCAGACACACAAGGCACACTGCTTATAAAGAAGGCAGTGGGCAGATGCACATGCCCAACAGATGCTGAGCCGGAGCAGAGAGCCATCATCAGAGGCTTAGGTGAGGGGAACCTGTCCTGAAGTGGAGAAGGTGGCAGAGGTGGTGCTGGGTCTGTGGTGGGGCACTCACGGGGTCTCCGTGCCAGGATCTCAGGGCCAGAGCCTCTGCTGAGAGGGGATGAGATCGCATTCCAGTCCCCATTTTGTCACTCTCAGCCCCCTCCCTCACCAGTGAGCAGGCATTGGGAGGGAAGTGCTGGCAGGAGCTGGGGCAAGGTGCAGGAGTGCCCAGAGAGCTGAGAGCAGGAAGGAGTCACTTCCTGCAATGCAGGAGAAAGGGCACAGAGCTGAGAGATTTGGGGACTGCATCATTAAGTAATTTGCCCCAAAAGATCAGGGACCCTCACCTAGACCTTCTGCCTGCGGAAGGCACACTGTGAAGCACTAATGCAAATGTGCAGAACACACATCTGTAAGTCCTATCTTTAACCTGTAAGCTCCTATAGAATTTTGATTAACAGCATGAATGAATCACATGCTGGGCCAAGCAGGAGGGCATAGGAGCTATTCTCTTAGTAACCCTGGGGGCAGATTGCAATGAACTGAGTGCCTTCTTTCTTTGCTCTGCCTTATTTTATGGCCAGGGGATTCACATCGCTCCAAACTTCCCCCAAATTCAGCGAAAGTTTTTTTTTTAATATTTATTTTTTAATAAACCGTTATATATATTTAATATTGCTTATTGATTTTAGAGAGAAAGGGAGAGATAGAAACATCAATGATAAGAAAGAATCATTAATTTACTGCCTCCTGCACATCCCCTTCCTCGTCTACCCCATTGGGGATTGAGCCTGAAACCTGGAGAATGTGACCCAATCCGGAATCGAACCTTGACCTCCTGGTTCATAGGTCAATACTCAACCACTGAGCCACACCAGCAGAACAAAGGGTTTTTCTTTATCTTATGAAGAGTCTCAAACAGACTATGCAAGTGCACTGCGTTGAAGCTAGTCAGGTTATTTCCCTGAGCCTCAGTTTCCTCAGCTGTAAAGTCAGAGATAATCTCTAAAGTCCTTTTGAGCTGAAACAATTGTTATGGTTCCATCTGGGATGATTCAACATAAGTCTCGGCCAGAGAGTGAAGGCAAGACTGTAATCCCTTTTATAATTCTCCAGGACTTTGCTATGGGAAGTGGGTTGAGGCTTTCTCTGACCCGCTGATGGGGAAGACGTAGCTTTCTCAGTCCCTTGGTTACCCGTGTTATCAAGATATCCCCAGGGTGGCGTCATTTTGTCTCCTGCCTTCTAATTACCTGTGTCTGGCGGGAGACTCTTATTTTCATCCAAGGGCGGTGCTAAGATGGCTAGCCAAGCCCAAAGTCACTGAGAAAACTTGGTCTTTTTTATCCTTTCTTTTCTCCTGGCTGCTACATTTAGATTGTGTTTATTCTGAAAATGAAAAGACGTATCCAGAGAACTCATTTGTTCTAGTGTAAGGTGAGGAGACATCCCGCTTTTGGCGGGACAGTCCCGATTTTTAACAATTTGTCCCACATCCTGCGGCGTTTTAAAAAAGTCCCAATTAGAGGAGACAAGGTGGCGACAGATCAGACGGACTTGTTCTGAGCCTAATCCCAGAACAGATAGAATCAGCTTCTAGGAGTCGCATAGGAAGTACAGATTAGCAAGCTAAGGGGTAGCAGAACTCTAAAAGAAGGTAAGGGTCCTTTGGACAGGATTTCATGACCAAGCAGCCAGTGCTGCGGTGGCGGAGACCTCTCCTGGAGCTATGGGCTCAGAGAGAAGGCTGCGCCATCTTACCAAGAAAGGAGGACCTTTTCTGAGGCTGGAAAACCCACAGCAGAGGAGACCATCGAGCAGCTGTGACACCCCAATTGGCGCAAACACGTGGATTCAAGGGAGTTCTTCAATCACCCACAGAAAGGTCAGAGTTTGCGGGGGGGAAAACATGAGGGTTCTGGGTCACCGCTGTGCAGGCAGCGACTGTACCTGCGCTGCCACCAGTGGCCCCGCGCCCAGAGCTGCGCCGAAAGAGACGGGCTGCAGAGAGAATCGCTCACTGCAAGACCCAGTGCTGAGTTTGGCGTGATCTTCCCTAAATTCGGGTCTTTTTAAAACAAACAAAAAAAACAACCACCAAGGGACTTGGGACAAATTGTTAAGAATCGGGACCATCCCGCCAAAAGCGGAACATCTGGACACCTTGGCACAGACCCATCCTGCGCCTGATCCCCTTCACCCCCTTGCTTCTGAAAACTAGGGAAGGATTGCCCATTTTGGCATATCCTGGGAGACTGCAGGGGGAAATTGCCTTCCTGGAAACAGGGGATCAGAGCGAGAAGAAACAATCTGGGAACCAAGTCAATCTGGGAGTCAGCACCCAGGCAGCTTTCCTCGACAAAACATAGAGCCATAGAAAAAGAAGGCTAGAGCAGCCAAAAAGACTGGGAAGTCAAACCAGAAACACTGCCACCGAGGGGCTGAAATACAAACTGATCTCCCCCCCCCCGCCCCTTTTTTTTTTTACCTTCCTTCCTTTCTTTCTTTCTTTATTATTATTTTATTTTTTTATTACTTTTAATTAATCAAAAGTAAATGGACACAAATAACTAAGAAATAGCCTACTTAAAATTAAGGACTAGCTTACAAAACTGAGGTGCAGTGGAACACAGGGGTCTGCAATACTGTCTGGACTGAGAAATACGTGTGCCAAATATAATAACAGAGGAAGTGAATGACCACTACTGCACATTTTTATACTAATTTTTCTATTTTGTATTTTATTTTCATCTTTTAGTTTATTTTCACTTTTTACATCTTTTAATTAAGAAAC